TGGGACCAGCGAGTACCCCCAATGACAAATGTGAGCTTCCTCCATGCCGTGCATGGCTGAGGAGGGCCCCATCTGTGTAATTCTGGTTTTGACCCAGCAACCCCTGATCTGCAATATCAGAAGCTCAGGAAACACTGGAAAACTCCTACTCAGCCCTTAATTCCAGCCCAAATGCCCACTCCAGCCCTGGACCCTCTGCCACTCTCATCCTCTCTCCCCTTGGATGGATCTCAGCAGCCCCCGTTCAGCAGCAGAAGTCCCATATCCACGGGATTCCTGGAGTACCTTCAGACCCTCTGGGCTGACATCACCTCCCACCCAGCCCTGACCACCCAAGTCTGTATGAACCAGCTCCCTGCCAGGGGAGCAGGGCCCCGTACCTGCTTGTTTAGGAACAGGCTCCGTCCCAAGAGACACTCCTCCCTGCTCAGCAAGACCCCATCCCGAGTCTGGGGTTCTCTTCGGCAGCAGGCCTCTGGCACCTCATCACTGTCCAAAGTCAGGAACCGAAAAACTGATGCAAACTTGAAGTCTTCAGGCCCATTGACCCCACAGCAACCAAACTAGGAGGAGAGCAAACACAGAGCAAAGTGACCCAGCCACACGAATACTTCTGTAAGCAGGGCTGAAGCAGGACCAGACTCAACCACTCCTTGCCCTGGGGGCAGGAGCTGGACACAGGGGCAGAGAAGGAGAGACAGTCTCTCCAAAAGGGTGGGTCAGAAGACTGGGTGTGGGCTGGCCCCACCTGCCCCTACTGTGTGACTGTGGGAAAGTCACTCGGTTTCTCTGAGCCTTCAGTGTTCTCGTCTGTACAATGGGATGGCAGTAACAATTTCTACATCACTGGGCACTTTATAAGCACTCAATAAACAGTTGCTGTGATTATCATCATCAATAACAATGATTTATTGCTTAGGGACCCAAGTCAGGGATAGGAAACAGGTTTCATCTCTGCATGGACACTGATCCTGAGGCCAGGTCCAGACTCGGTGGGAGGGTACCCCAATTGATTATTGATGTCTGGCACAGGCATATGAGCAGAGAGGGCACAGGAGGCCAGACATTTACTGCAGTGGGCACCATGGCTCTGAATATTCACAGCATCCCTGGGAGTCACTCACTGTGATCATGACCGAGTTCCAGGTGGCAGAGAAGACGTCTGTGTCGTTATTGCCCTGGTAGTGCTTGGTGAGCTCCTTGGTGAAGAATTCGCGGGTGAGCTAGGGGCAGAGAGAGAGGGTGGGCTGAGAGCTGGCATTTGGGTGCAGCCCCCACCCCTCCCTCGCCTCCCCATCTATCTGCTTGGGGGGTGGGAGATTGGGCCTCTTCGTCCTGGTCCAGGCCTTCTGGGATTTTCTCCTAGGCTGCCAACTTGGGGCAGCCCCTTAACCCCCAACATGACAAGGACGTCTGCACACCCACACCTTGGGAAACCTGAGGTCAGGGCATGCTGGGAACCTCACTCAGCCCTGCTGCTCTTCTCAGAGGGAGGGTTTATCCCAGGTTGGGGGTTTGCCCCTTATCCCACCTCTTCTACCCTGAGCTGTTCCTCAGTCATAGCCAAGCAGATGCCCTGCGTCTCAGGCCCTGAAGAAGCTGGCAGGGGGGAGGGGGCAGGGAGTCTCTGCACAACCACAGTTTCCAGAGATGTCCTTGTACGTTGCTTCAACTCTCAGAATAATCTAAGGTCTGACCACCTCCTTCCCAATGCAGTGAAAGGTGGGGCCTGGGAGGCACCCAGCAGAGGGAGACCCTGTGGGCACCACCTGTCTACACCCCGCCTCCTCTTCCCCTCTGTGCCGACCACTCACCTCCTTGTCCCCCAGAGCCAGCCTGTGTCTCCCACCCCCTTCTCCCTCCTCCCCCTCCTGTTTTGTTTGTTTCCAGGGCCTTATCCAACAGGGCTCTGCCCCGTGCTCCCCCACGGCACATTCCTGGGCTCAGGGGACAGCTTGACTATCCCCAGACTGTTCAACAACTATCACTGGGCCGTTGCTGGGCAAGATGCAGGAGGGAAGATTCCAGAATCAGGTGTGAGGCTGCTCCAGATGATTGGGAGCAGTGACTCATAAGGGCCTCTTGACCCTGTGACCTTCTGGAAAAGCCCTTGCAGGAAGAGGCTCGTTGGGGTCTTTCTCTGGGCTGTGGAGCCTCACTGGACTGGTGGGTCAGGATTTGGGCTGGAAGTGCTGGATGAGAGGCTGCCAAATCTGTAAGACCTTTAAGGCCACCAACCCCTTGCTGGTGGAAGGGTGTGGGAGAGCCTGGGACTTGGTACGTACATTTTCCCTGAAGATGAAGGCCAGGATGGCCGCTGAGAGCTCTGCCAGAAAGATGACCAAGATGAACAGGAAGAACTGCAAAGACAGGGACAGATTCGTGAGCCCTGAGGACAGGCAGGAGGGGACAGGGCACTGCTCACCAATGTACCCTTCCATCTGTTACGGAATTAACGTCATATGCTGATTTTATAAGACTAAGACATTCCACTGCCATAAGACAAACGTCTTTCAGAACAACGATCCATCCTTGGAGTTAACAAGGTTGTAATAAACATATGAAAGAAATAAACAAATAAATTGCCTTCCGCTCAAACGGTACCCCTTAGATGAGGCCCCTTTGTGCAGTGTACAATCTGAATAACCCTACCCAGCAGCCCTGGATGGAGATCGCTGATGAAACCTGTCTGAGTCTCCTCCGGGTGGATTTTCCTCCAGGTGGATTGCACAAGCTGTGGGAATCCTGAGTTCCTTGGAGATAACCAGCTGTCTTTCCTTACCCCTCTAGCCCTAGGGCGACCTCTCCTGTCCCACTGCCTCTGGTTCCCATGGGAAGTAGTGAGGTCACATTGATCTTCAGCCAAAATAAAGGAGCAAGATGGGAGGGAAGGTGGTGTGACAATCAAAATCTGAAGACCCAGGGGCTGGGGTTTGATATCTATCTAAAGCAGAGCCCCTTCTGCTCCACTCACTAAATTATGTGATGTTTTCCAAATTAGCCACGATGCTTCTCTTTTTGGGGCCGTCCCACGCTGTGCTTCCTCTGCCAGGAAGGTTCCTCCCTTCCTTGCTCACCAACTCCTTATTTTTCCAGACCAGGTTAAGACCAGCCCCCGTCCTGATGAGAAGACTTCCCTGACTTCCCCAGCCGGGGGCAGCCCGCCCTCCTCTGGGCCCCCCACATCACAGGGCCTAACTCAGCACACTGCATCACCCGGTGCCTGGGACAGCATAGGTTTCGCTACATGGCTACTGGATGAATGAATGAGTCCATGAGTGGACGACTGGACATAATGACCTTTGTTTGATCTGCTACATCTCAGGCCCTGGGTGTCGTGGGCTCACCTTCATTACTCAGCACTGCTGGTGCCCTTGGCATTTACAGCCCATTGTTACCCCACCTGGAAGCCACCAACAGGAGACCTAAATCCGGTGCACACACAGAGACTGGCTGCTAGGCCTGCTGCCCCGAGCCCTGCTCACTGGGGTCCCATTCTTCAGAATGGCCAGCGGCTGTGGATGTGCCGGGCTGGAAGGAGGTGGAAAGTGCTGAGTTTAGCATCAGGACACCTCAGGTCCTGCCTTGTCCTGCCTGTGAGACTTGGGACAATCATTCAAATCCCTTCGAGCCTCAGTTTCCCCATCAATAAAATGGGATCACTCCCACATCCTGGGGTTCATCATGGGGAATAAGGCATAATGGATGTGAAAGTGTTTCATATGTTGTAAAAGAGCCTCAGCTGAGCTTGCTGGGGCTATTACAAGTACAGGAGGAGAGCGAAGCCCAGCCCAAGTGCAGGCTCCTTCTGTGAGCTTCCCTGAGCCTGGCTCCTGGTGAGAGACTCAGCACTGGTTTCCTCCTAGATGGTCTTGTGGGCTGTTGACAATGCCTTTGGGGGTTTGTCTCCTGGAATATGCCTCTTCTGGTCAGAAGAAGGTTTCTGTCACTTTATCTTCGCCCCGGGAAGATCCCAGTCCTGTTCCCTCCCTAACTTTCCAGCTCCAACAGCAGCTACTCCACAGAGGTCCTGAGGTATCTCCAGACTGCCATGGACCGTGTTAGGGGAGAGCCTCAGGATACATTTAGAGAATATCCATCCAGGACACAGACATAAAAATCCCCTAGACCTGTCAACTGGATTTTTAAAAAACGCCCAAACCCAAGCAGAACTCCTTGCTTTAACAGATCAGCCAGCACAAGATGTGGACGTGTTCACTCCCCATCCCTGATTTGGCCCCTGGCCTTTGTCCCCAGCCATGAAATCAGCTCTGCTACTTCACTTGGAGGCTCCGCTTGTCCCTGACATCTCACGAGGGTCTGACGAGGTTCCAGCTGCCTCCAGCACAGGTTTCCAGTCTCAGGTTTGTCTGGCATCGGTGCAGATGCATTTCCCACAGTCTCTATCCTGTGTCGTTCCTGAGGAAGCTGAAGAAGGGAAATGACCAGCCTAAAGGTACGAAGCTTGAAAGGTTCAGTGGAAATCCTTTCCTCTTAATCCAGTTCTTTCCAGAGCGTCATGCTACCTCTGCTGGCTGATGGCAAGCGAGGCTCAGGGATTGATCAGTCTGTCAATAACTCTTCCAAGTCCTGGGGGCCTATCCCCACAGGTCAGTGGGCAGCCTTGCTGAGGTCCAACGTATGGCCTGCTTGGAACATCTGGGCCAGATGCCCTTGCACTTCCTGAAGGTTGGGGTGACTTTAGGCTGGGGTCAGGAAGCAGAGTTCCTCAGCAAGAGCAGAATGAGACAGAGGGCCTCCTGTGCCCCTGGGCAGGCTGCCCCGGCCATGACACCCGCAGTCCATCCTGTTGCCCCCACGATCCTCACTTCCAGGAGGCTGGTTGGTTCTTGGGCTGAGCTGCAACCGAGTGATGTATTCTCCACCTCTGCGGCCTTTCCTCCCCTATGACAGTGATGGAGGCCCCTGGCAGGGGTCCTGGCACTTCCATTTGGCTGGGGATATGGTCATCCGGTTCCATTTCACACAGCCTCTATGAGGAGCCCCTCCCTGCCCTCTGCCCCTTGCTGGAGCCACTGGCAGGACCTCAGGATGGCAAAGAGCAGCCTCAGAAATGGTTTCCACCCACGGTGATGTGCTTGAGCTGGCTGCGGCTACCAACTGCAGCTTAGACGGTTATAAATTATGGACGAGGCAGATCGCTGCGTGCTCATCATTCTGGGGCGTGTGTGCACGATCCAGGATGACTTAGCATGGAATCAACGAAGTGCATCGCACGGACCGGCACAACAGAAGAGCTGCTCCGGACCAAGAGGAAGCGTGGCCTTCCGAAGATGAGCGCAGGCATGGGTACTCTCTGTGACAACAGTGATAGCTGCCACTGACTGGGCACTTCCTACCTAAGCACTGCGGATCTCACATGGACCATTTCATCCACCCCCTCAGCAGCCTGGTGAGGCAGGTGCTGTTATCAGCCACACCTCCATTTTACTGATAGGAGATTGTGACTCTGAGAGGAGATGTACTTTGCCCAAGCTGGCACAGCCAGTAGGCGGTACATCTGGGGACTCTGATTCCAGAATACAATCTCTGAACACCATGTTATCCTGGAAGCCCTACAAGCCCTACAGGTCTTATGACTTTCAAATGGCCTGTAAAGTCTCTAGTGGTTCAACACCAATTCTTTTAGTTTCCCATTTATCAAGTGCTCATGTGTGCCAGGAACAGAGCAAACAAGACACACAGTTTCCCATTGGATCATGAACACAACACTATGGCTGGAGATGAGGTATTATTATCTGTACTTTACCCATGAGAAATCTGAGGTTCAGAGATGTTAAGTAACCAGCGCCAGGTCATACAGCCAGAAAGCGGTAGAGCAGGAATTAGAACCCAAGCTTTTCTGACTTCACACCTCTGACACTACCTCCTCTCCACCTCCTCTCTGTTCCATAATTGCAGGGCTGTTTATTGAGCCCTATCCTGTAACAGGCACTATGCTAGGTATTGATAAATACATACAAGGCAGACACAGCCCCATCTTCACGAAGTGTGCACTGAGCTAAAGCATCAGAGCATGAACTGAATGAATGAACCCGGTAACTCACTGGCCGGAAAAAGTGGGCCTCCCCAGAGGAAAGGGGTCTACGGACCTCCCTCCCACTGCTCCCACTTGGAGCAGGGCTTCCCAGGAACAGTGACTCAGGGGTGACTTGAGTGTGTAGGAGTGTGAATCAGGTGAGAGTCCAGGGCTGTGGTTTCTGCATCAGTAATAATACCACTTCCGCCAGCTCGCCCTTCTCCAGCAGGAAATAATTTCCTTCTGCTTAACACAGTTTACTGCTGGTTATCTGGGGAAGTTCCCCTGGACCCATGGGGCTTGTCCTGATGCTTCCTGGGGCTTCCCCTCATCAGGGCCTTTCCCAGGGTTTGTTCCACTTGAGTTGATCAACCTCATCCTGTTTGCCTAAGGATGCATTTGTCAGTAACTCCTGAACATCTAATATACGACACTTTGCTTAGGATGAAAAAGTTAACAAAGGGGTAGAAACTGCTATTTTGCCTACTTGTGAGCATTTCCAGGCTTTTCTAACCCACCTGCTTAGGGCAAAGTCTGCTTTCAGTTCTAATTTCTAATAAACATTTACCAAATTTACCTACTTCATGTTCAGCTCATTTATCTCTTTACACTTGTCTCTCTTTTGCAGTTCTCTTTTCCAATTTGGCATACCTTTGTTATAAAATACTTTAGAAATTAGAATCTTTAAATAAGTGGGCTTCAAAGATCCTTGAAATACTCCAAGATAAGCACATAGGTAAAAGGGATGCCACAAAATTTCAGTAAGAGGCTGAAATTGTCCTATTGCGTGTGAATGCTGTGAAACTGATCAGAACGAGTGTTTGGAAAACCCATCTGTAGATAAATTGATCATTAGTGACTTGGTCATTAGGCTGACTGTCCCTAGGCCCTGAGGATTTTCAGCCTTAGAGCAGAGGGTAGGGGACACATGGTTGTCCCCATCTCCAGGCCTCCTTTCTCTGCAGACATTTGAGCCAGGGTTCCTGAGGGGGCTAAAGTCGATCCCTATTGGCCCTTCTCAAGACAAGCCTTCCCTCTCTCCCTGCAGGCTGAGGAGGCAGCCAAAGGCTTCCAGAAGGACCCAGAGGCTACCAGGAGTGAGACTCCTTGCCCCTCTTCAGCTCGAACCACCACACAGCCAGCTTCAGGCTGGAAGCGAGCAGGGGTTTTTCTAATTTTTTAGGTTAAGAACCTTTCGGAAAACCTTCCAGAAGCTGGGGTGCCTGTCCTCAGAAACACTCAACACAATCCCCATGCACATAACTCACACACACACAAAATACATACACGATACACATGTACATGCACACATGATGCATGTACATGTACAAGCATATAACATGTTGCACATGTGTACACACAACACATGCACAAGGCAACACAACATGCACGCACGGACAACACACACACACAATATACAATGCACATGCACACGACACATGCAACTTACATGCACATGCACATGACAGTGTGGACACGCACATACAACACACAATGCAGCACAGCATACATGTGGACACAACGCACATGCATGTATACATACACACAACACATTTGCACATGTACATGCACACAAAGGCCCTGACAGAACGTTTTGCACATAATTTTAGGTGAATTTTGGACTATTTGAATCCATTCCAGGTTAGGAGCCCCTATGCCAGCACTGGTCTGGAAGACAGGAGACCTGGATCCAAGTGTCCCTTGCCTCTGACCCATACTGTGACCTCAGGCTTGTGTGTGCAGGCCCAGAGAGGGGGAGAGAAGGGCAAGAAGGGGAAGTGAAAAGAGAGAGGCAGGGAGAGGCCTGGGCAGAGGCAAGGAGAGCTCAGGAGAGGAACAGGGAGAGGGAGCAGGAATAGAAAGTAGAGATCAAGAGAAAGGCAGAGATGGAGAGGCAGGGAGACAGAAGCAGAGAGAGAGAAGAGGGAGCTACATGCAGATCACAGACTGATGAGCAGAAAAAGGAGGAAGGAGACAGAGAGGGGATGGGGAGGGGCTACAATAAGCTTTGATGAAAAGGGCCCCAGC